TTTTAATTCTGCCAAGGCCGTGTCAAAATGCAATCCGCTAAGAAACTCAAACAGTTCATTATCAACTGCAGCAAGACTGATTTTTTGCATGTGTACAAGGGAGTTAAGCTGAAAAAGGATCTCGTATGCCAGTGTACAATCAGACGGGGGCTTCACAAGTGGAACAAGGGCAGATGTGGTGGAAGGAAATTCTACTTTTTCAAGAAGTATATCTAGCACATCTCTATTGTAATATGGGATACTGGAAAATATATCAGAGACAGATACGCCTTCAAATTCCCAGCACAGAGACGATGAATATCCAATAGACTTCACATCTGAAAAATCAGTTGCTCGAACCCAGAGAAAGTCGTAATCTTCTTTGCAGATGTGGTACCGGTCAGTGGAGAATTTTGACACAATGTGGTTTCCGTAAACTTTTCGATATATCTTTGGAGCAAATTTGATCTGAAAATTTAAAACTTACTATTACAAAATGGAAGAAGAATCAAGGTAGTTTGCTTTTGAAAAAAAATGATATACCCCACCTCTACCCCCGGGGCACAATGTGGGTTCTAGTTCAGGATTCTTGCAAAAGGTCACCCCTTTACCTCCCACGTATCAAGGTAAGACACATGAACTTCAGTCCCACCCTTCACTCAAGATACACCCCATGGGGTAATATGTAGCTTAATACTCCATAGTAACTAGTGTCAAGAGAGTACACCAGTAACCCCATTGAAGGAAGGGAGGGGGTAGATAGCTGTCTGTTCATTAGACTAACAACAGGAATCATTCATACATCAATGCCAAAGTTCAAATGGATGCAATCCTGTGATGGCAACATCGTGAGGAAAAATTCAATCTTTTAGCAAACTTGATTTTTAACAAAACTTTCTACGAAAAGAACGTTCATCTTTGCTAAGTTTGTCTTCTTTCAATCCATTGGTTAAGCTAAGCATGTAACAAATCACAGATGACTAGATCGGTATAAGAGTTATTCAAAGGGGATGATAAATTCATATCATCAAAAGATGTGAGGAAAATCAGTAGGTCATATTTAAATTCATGTTAGTGCATACATTGGACAGCCTGATACTATCGTTATATCACCAAAATCAGGCTGTACAATACACCCACCCATAAGACCATACCGATTAGACCATATCAGCAACCGAGAGTGAGGTTTCATAGTTCTTTCCAAAAACTTGGGTTCAAAACAATCCAAACCCATTAGCATAGGAGCACGAATACATTTCAATAGCTATCATAAAAATTTCACTAACCTAATCTGCCAAGGGTCAACATAACTAGTTACATAATACCTTCATTGTGTACAACATATATATCAGTTTGAATGAGTATCGCAATTTACATTGATCAAAATGCAGGTGAATTTTATGGGGTTTTAGGGGGGGGGGGGATCCCACCTTCAACAAAACAGAGGGACATAATTAAACACATACACTACTTATTAGAATTCTTAAATGTGCAGAAGAAAAGAGACCGCTATACCTTAAGAAGAACAGCATTGCGATTCTCACCACGAAGAGAGCACCGGCACGTCTCCACAATATCCCCAAACTGGACTTCAAGCTTGTAACACTCGCCGCCATGGCTGTTGAGAAAGAACTCGATAGTCCTCCTTTCTGGATTAATCCAGGTCATGACGCTTTCCCAGGACTCCATAAACCACAAGGTCTCCCGCTGGACCATAAACCCAGCATAAAGGGTCCCATTCCTGAACCTGCAATCGGGCTTGGCCGGCCTGAAGATGATGTCATTGTGGGAGTGGGTAACGGAGAGGCGGGAGCCTTTGAAAGCGAGGCGGCGTTGGTCGGAGAGGGAGAGGGCGAGCTGCTTCGCCTGGAGGGACTCGAACTGAACTCGGCCGTGGCCTCTGGATTTCCAGTTCTTGTGCTCCGTGAAGATTTCAACAGCGAAGACGGAATCTTGACCCACCGCCGACTCGAGAAAGGCAAGGAGCTCCGAGGCTATGGCGGTTTGGGGAATGTTGGCGACTCTCACCGTCGATGTGATTCTCTCCTCCATGCCAAGCACTGCAGAAACAAAGCCCTCAAGATTTGAGGCAGTGGACCGCCGGGGAGTGTGACACGGAAAGAGTAAGGGTTTCCTTTCTTGTCCAATTTTTGGGGATGACTATGAATATATTGAATTGGAAGCTCTTTTAGCATATGAGTTTAATACGTTTATTCATAAGTTTCTGTATAATATGGACTATATTTTTAAAGTTCATCTTATTATACGTTTTATATGTTCGGAATACATATACGAATATGTTCGTATTTTATATATTTGATTTTTCAAAAATACGTCTAATATTGAGCGCATATATTTTTATAAAAAAAAGATATTTAAACTTTGAAATTGAATATGATTTAGTGTATATCCATTGTTATAAAAGATTAATTATAAAAATTCAAAAAAGGACTATCCGTAAAAATATATTTATAAAAGAAGAATAATGAACGTAATAATAAGGAAAGTCATTGTTATAAAAAACAATTATAAAATTTAGGAGCTGTTTGTTTCAGCCTCTTAATAGTTCAGATGTCTGAATGGTTCAGCCACTTAATGGTTCAGACTGTTTCTTTCATTTAAAACCTCTTTTTTACCTCTATTGGTTATATGGTATTGGTCTATGTATCACATTTTATCCCATCGTATAACAAAGTAAGAGCAGAATTAAAAAGTAATACTAGAATTACACATTTCTTAAATTTTACTTTTTTGAAGTGGAAAAGTTTTATAGAATGGAGAGAGTACCTATAATTTAGCTAACATGAAAGAGAGCCTAATGGTAGGAAGTGGGGAAAAATGGAAATGGCTCATATGTAAACTTTAAAGACATTACTCATTAACACACACTTACATACATCACATATGCATGTTCAGCTTGATCAAATAGATATAATCCACCAATGTTTGATATGTTTGATAGTACTAATTAATAGTAGTGGTACGGAGAAATATAAAGCCAATATTAATTTAAATGGATCAAACTTGGTCCATCCTTACATGGCTTATGCATCTTCTAAATGTGCATGCCATATATAGAGAATGACCAAGCTTGCTCCATTAATTAGCATGGCATGGCATGGCTAGCTACAACAACTTTCATAGTAGTATACCAAATAAAAATAATTAGCTTATCATCTAATTATTATTATTATTATTTTGTAATCAATAAGAAGGTCGGAGAAGAGATCATGGATCGAGCTGCACGCGCGCCCGCCAGGTGCGTGTTTAGTTTGATTTAAGAGTCGCCAAAGGTGTGGGGAGGCCAGAAACCACTGCCACCGCCACTGCCACCACCGGTGTCTGGAATAATGTAAGACAAGCATGACAATGGCACAAGGCAAAGCCCTCTGCTCCTAAGACTTGTACTCATCTTGCCTGTTTCTTCACTCCCACTATTGTCTTCTTGTTGCTGAGAACCCTGTGAGTAACCACATTATTTATTCCATTTATCCTCTACTAATTTTTTTATTTTCTCTTTCATTTATAATGATCTTACCCCTATGATGGCTCTATTGCAGGCATGGTTGCGAGATGGTTTCATATATGGAAAGCTTAGAGTCTGCAACAACGTAACATTATAAGAAATCACCTTAAATAAGACTAAGATATAGAACAAATACTAAAATAAAAACATAAATGTCTTTTTATCCTCAAAATAGAAATTTACATTGTGGTAATGTATGTATGCCGTTTACGGATATTTAACAATATGTTTTTGTATTATACATTGACATGATTTTGACATCGTAGTTTAATTCGACAATATGGATATTCTAGTTTTACTCCTAGTTTAGTTTTTTTCTTAACATTACTAATACTCCCTCCTTGGTTTTCCAATTTTGACTTTCACTGTCTCAAATACACACACACACACACATATATATAATAAGAATATAATATTATAGAATTATATTTCAAGATAAACCTATTGATACTAGCTAAATTTAAATCCAAATTCAATTTATTTTTTCGTAAGTTGTTAAAATTTTAAAGAAATGATTGTACAAGTCAAAATTGGAAAAACTAAAAAAAAGAGAGGGTTTGTGCTAATTACATATGAGTCCCTTAACATATAGTGATCGAGTAGTTGGAAAAACAAAAGTGCCCAAATACTCCGGACATAGTTGGCGAGAGTTGATGAAAAAATGATGATCTTCAAACTATGTTATAACATTATTAATTAATTTTATGTCACAAATAAGTAAGGAATGGGATGTTGTACTTACGTGAACTTGATTTTGGAGAAAGTTGATATACCCAATAGCCTCCATTAGTACGGATGCTGTGTCTGTCTGCACCATGTTTAAATGTACTCCAAAATCATATCCAATTTATTCATAAATTTCATCCCATCCAATCCCAAAAATTAACTCAAGGAGATGAGACAATAGTAGAGTTGAGCCAATTCCACACCTCAACTCTAATTTTTTATGCATTTCATAAAATATTTTAACTCTACTTAAAATGTCTAAAATACGTCTAAAATAATTTCTATCCGTAATAAACTACATAATGATATGTATTTTAGATATTTTAGATGGAAGTAAATGTATTATGGGGTGTGCAGAAAATTAAGGGAAAGTGTTTTCAAGAACGGAGAGAGTGTGATATTTTGTGTACACCATATGAGATGAGTATAACTCAACAATCTATGTCAAGGATTTTGCAAAAAAAAAATTCTTTTTTTAAAAAAATTATACTCAATATTATACTCCCACCTTCGGTTTTGCAAAATGTTTCACCCTCCTTTTTCTTGTCCTAAAAAACTTCACTTTGTGTGAATTTCTCTCATGACTTGAGTGGTAGCAAGCCCACTCTCCAGGTTCGAGCCCCAACAGAGGTAGAAACATTGACTCTTTGTAAGTCGTTAAATTAACGCATTCCAACCAAACAAACTTTTTTCACTTTTAACATCACTTTTGAACTTCATGAAAATTAAAGATTTTTATGTAATTGAGTTAATGAGGTAGTATGGTCAAGCTAGCAAGCCTTCAAATTTTAATACTTTGATTTACCTAAATTTGTAATGAGTGGCTTGTGCCGTTATGCTTACGTTGTAAAATAAGCAATATATATATATACTCCCTCCGTCCCAAAAAGTCTTTCCTGTTTCATTTTTTGCGCATCCCATAAAACACTTCTATCCTGCCTTGAATGCCAAAAAAACTTTCAAATTAACTTCTATCTATAATAAAGAAGAAATGTTGTAAATTTTAGGCATTTTAGATGTCGATAGAAGTGTTTTATGAGATGCGCAAAAAATGAAACAGGAAAGACTTTTTGGGACGGAAGAAGTATATATATATATATATGTATGTATGTATACACACACACACACACACACACATATATACACACACATTATTGTACTTCAAAATCAAAGACATGATCTTTTTCTTTAAGCAAAAATATTACTCCCTCCATCCCATAAAACTTTTCTCCTTTCTTTTTTCATTCGTCCCATAAAACACTTCTCATTTCTATTAAAAAGTCACTTTTACCCCTTACATTTTCATACCCTACCTATCACATCATACCTTTTTACTAATAATCTACCCATCAAATCCTACTTTTACCCATCACATCAAAGGACATTTTTGGAAATTCAATACCAAAATACACTCCCTTAAATCTCTTCAAAAAGCAAAACATCCCATGTTTCATGGGACGGAGGGAGTATTATATTTCCAACGTGATTTTCAGGANTCTTTTTTCATTCGTCCCATAAAACACTTCTCATTTCTATTAAAAAGTCACTTTTACCCCTTACATTTTCATACCCTACCTATCACATCATACCTTTTTACTAATAATCTACCCATCAAATCCTACTTTTACCCATCACATCAAAGGACATTTTTGGAAATTCAATACCAAAATACACTCCCTTAAATCTCTTCAAAAAGCAAAACATCCCATGTTTCATGGGACGGAGGGAGTATTATATTTCCAACGTGATTTTCAGGATTAGATACAAAAAGACTAATAAGAATGATTTTGTCACTATCATTTTTCTTGTAAATATCGATCCAAATATCCAATATTGTGATAATTTTAACAAAATTGGGAGTGACAACATGATTATCTATATAAAATGATTATTAGGGAGTAATAATAATTAATTAGTACCTTGCCGAAAGGTGCTACTAACTGTTGAAGGGCCGCAATTCTATCTCCTAATTTCTCTTTTCTCACCTGCTTCATATTTATAACACACACTACTAATATAAGCCGATAATTGAGTATGATGAGATTTGTAGAATAAAAGAGTCATAACTAGAAAACAATATCAAAATTACTCATTTTAAAAATATCTTTTTTCAAACAGGAAAAGTTATGGGACGAAAAGAATAATATATATGGAGTCTTTTGAAAGAAAAATCATATAAAATTAAACCAATTTCATTTATCATTCAATGTATTTTACTACTCCCTCCGTTCCCCTAAGATGTTCTCATTTTGACTTTTGGTGGTTTTTAATGAGAGTGAAAAAAGGTGAAAGTTTACCATAATACCCTTAATGAAAATGGTTGGAGTGTATTAAATGAGGTGAGTGAGGTGTAATAAATAAAGTGGGTGTAGTTGTGATATTCTAATTGTTAAAAAATGAAATGAGAAGATCTATTGTGGATAAAAAAAAGATATATTGGGAAGATCTATGGGGGATGGAGGAAGTACTTTTTAAGTAGTTATTAATAATTAAAATACTCCATCCGTCCCATAAAACCTTTCTCCTTTCTTTTTTCATCCGTCCCATAAAACACTTCTCATTTCTATTAAAAAGTCACTTTTGCCCCTTACTTTTTCGTACCCTACCTATCACATCATACCTTTTTACTAATAATCTACCCATCAAATCCTACTTTTACCCATCACATCAAAGGACATTTTTGGAAATTCAATACCAAAATATACTCCCTTAAATCTCTTCAAAAAGCAAAACATCCCATGTTTCATGGGACGGAGGGAGTATTACATTGAGGACTAGTAAAAATGCATGTTTTTTTGGATGGTGTATGTAGGGGTGGACACGGTACGGTTCCGGAACCGCCACCCCTTGGTACCGGTACCGGTACCGGATCAGCCGGTACCGGTTCCGGTTCCGGTACCGGCGGTTCCGGTTCCGGTTCCGGTACCGTTTCGGCCACCCATAATTTCCTTTTTTTGCTTTTTTTATTAAATTTTTAAAGTGTAAAATTGTAAATGTGTAATTGTTAAAAGAAAGGATGAAATAAAAAACTCTAAAAATAAAATTGATAAAGGAAAGAATGAAATAAAAAAAATTAATTACGGTACAGAACCGGAACCGGTACCGCCGGTGCCGGTACCGAAAAATGGGCACCGGAACCAGTACTGGAGTGGGCGGTACCGGTACCGGTTCACGGAACCGGTGGACCGTCCCGGCCGACGGTAACGGTCACGGAACCGGCGGTACCGTTTCCGGTCACGATACCGTGTCCACCCCTAGGTGTATGTAACTAAGATTCGCAATCCCATAAAGTAATTTACATTTATTTATTATTAGTTCATCATAGAAATTAAAGGGTTACATCCCTCTTGGCAATAGTGGTTATGCTACGCACTTCTTTTTTTATTGTCTCATATTCAAATTAGATTATACAATTCGAAGAACGTGTGAAAATAATTCTAGATTTAATTTATTTACAAATGCGTATAGAAACAAAAAATAAAGCATAGATATTTAAAAATCACATAAAAATTTCTACAAAATACGTGAGGAGAAGAATATTTTTTTAAAATAGTCAATAAAAACAATATATGAGACAAATAAAAGTTTTTGAATGAGCACAATAGTGATTGTGTAATTTATTTTAGAAAGAGTGGAGTGAGCATTTTCAACAAGTTTGGGCCAACACACAATTTAGGTAAAAAATCAAAACATTGTTTGTTTATATTAGGAAGTATAATTAAATTAGGATATTACATTCCTTTCCTACTAGGATTATTCTTTCCTTTCTTTCCTTTCCTACTTGTACTTTGATTATTCTTGTATACCCTAAAGTATGATTTGATGGATAGATTATTAGTAAAAAGGTATGATGTGATAGGTAGGGTATGAAAAAGTAAGGGGTAAAAGTGATTTTTTAATAGAAATGAGAAGTGTTTTATGGAACAAATGAAAAAGTAAAGGAGAAATGTTTTATGGGACAGAAGGAGTAAAACAATTCAACTAGTTGTAATAGAGAGAGATATATGGATGTATGTACCTTGAAGGGTGGGGAGGAGGAAGCACGCGAATCCAGTCGTGATTTCTTAATGAGTGGGGCATGAGGTGTCATCGGCTCCACACCGTTTTGCCTTTTTGGTTCCACATTTTTTTTTGCATTAGTAGTTGTGGGGTAGTTCCCATTGTTGTTGCTCGACGACAACCCTCCTCCTGCTCCTCCTCCTATCTTCAATCATCATTATAATTCCAATATTACATTATTTGATATATTTTTCCACTTTTTTAATTTATAATATTTTGCTTGATTAGTTATATACTCCCTCCGTCCCAAAAAGTCTTTCTCCTTTTATTTTTTTTTTGTCCCAAAAAGTGTTTCACTTTTCACACTTTTGGACCTTAATACCCTTTACCCTAATTAAATCTACCCAACCCACCCAAACCCCTCCACCTACCTTATCCATCTATCAATTCACTCATACGGTCCTACCCTTAGCCTCATCTCCATCTCTTTTCTCTACCTATTCCACTATTTGCTTTACACTATTTGCTTCTTATTTATACTATTTGCTTCTCATTGTTAGATTAGGTTTGAGGGTAAAATGGTCAAGTCAATGAAAAAAAATTGGCTCCTTAATTTGGTTGAAAGTCAAAACAAAAAAAGGAAAAAGGGACGGAGGGAGTATATAAATACTACTTGCATTGCTGATATGATGATGATAATATACATATATATATATATATATATATATATATATATATTAATAAAAAATAATATAGATGCATATGCATGCTTAAAAAGACTCATTTTCTGAAAAAGGAGAGGCACACATGCATCATTTAAAGGGCAAATGTTTGTAGATTTAATAAAGGTGCAGTGGTGAATAATAATAATAATGCATAGCATCTCTAATACGGAGTAATAATACTCCATTCGTTTGCAAAAAGACTTCCTATGTTGACTTGGAGCAAAAATAAGTAAGTGTTAAATCATAGTTGACTTCAAATTTTGCCTCTGATATGATGGGTAAAAGTAAGATGTGATGGATAGATTATTAGAGAAAAAGTATGATGCGATATGTAGGGTATGAAAAATTAAGGGTAAAAATGGTTTTTTAATAGAAAGTGGAAGTGTTTTGTTGGAAGTGAAAAGAAGTACTGTATAATATGCATAAAGCTGAGTTACCCTTTGTACGTCCAGATAAAAGAGAAGCTTTAATTTTCCTTTTGTTTGATTTTGGTCGTCTAAAGTGAAATAAAAGCCAAAGATAAAGAAAAGGCTCCCTTCTTTACTTACCACACCCATATTATTTATTTTTATTAACTTCATCATTTCATTTCACGGGGTAAATTTAGTATCCATTCATCAGCATAATTCAGGATTAAATTAAACCCGAATGACACATTAAGTTTTACTTGATTCTTGATTTTTTTTATTAATGAGGTAAATGCAACAAGGCGTAACCACAAGCTTAATTAATTCATTTATTGACTTGACTTTATCAATATAATATCATAGTCTTGTTGATTTAGAAGTTATAGATAAAATATTTTTACTACTATCTGTTTTCTTTTTAAAAAATAGTGTTTGCTTGCTTAATTAATTAACTTGAAAAAAACGAATACTCCTTATATATTCACATTTACTGGTGTCAATTAATTATTTTTTTCAATAGAAAATGAAAAAAAAAATGCAGCAAATAAAATTAAAGAACCGTCGGGTAGCTAGTACTTACATCGGGAAAGCTGTTGCTACAAAAAAATGGCCTTTGGTGATTTGATGGCTGCAACTGATGATGATTAAGATTATGATCCATCCCAAAGTTTTGAAACCCAAACTCTTGATGATGATGATGATGAGAATGATCCTCAGAGTTCAATAGATCTAAAGCTTGCAGATTATCATTTGTGGAGCAGTAGAAGTGTTGGGCCGCCGCTGCCGCCGCTGCCACGGCGGCTTCTTCCACCTCCACGCCGGTTGAGAGTTGGTGCTTGTTGTTGTTGTTGCTAGCGGCCGCCCAGTGATGAAAAGTCAAGCCGTGTGGAGTCATGTCATCATCATTAGGGTTACAGATGAGTTGATGGTTTCTTGAGCTTGGATGTGACGATATTGGAGGACTTCTGGAACACGTACCACAAATAATTAATAATGTTTTGTTAGAATATAAATACTCCGTATTTCATTAAACTAAACCTAGCTAGGTGATTAATTAGGGTTTTGTTGTGAAACAAAGAGCGCAAAATAAATAAAGCAACAGGTTAAATGGATCTTGATGAGCTTGTTGCTTGGGATCTCTTAAAAGTTGTTCCCACATGCACATCAAATCAAACAAAGATCTAATTGAGGAGGGAAAAGGCCAAAACTTTCTAAAGAAAAAAGAAGAAAAAAAATTGGGAGAGGGAAAAAGAGACTTACAAGATGTTATTGCTTTGTTGGGTCCAATTAGTGGTGGAATTGGAAACTCCATAGCAAGATGATGAGAGGGAAGGTTTATAATTACTAATAATAATGTTATTATTTTCATTAGGTAAAGGAGGAGAGGCAAAAATTGAAGGAGGAAGATGGTGATCTTGGAACTCATGTTGGTGATGATGGAGGTGTGCAGACTCCATTGGATTTTATAAGAACAAAGATGATGATAATGGGGGAGCTGATCTGAGGTTTTTAAAAAGCGAAGCTTAGCTTCTTAGTCCCAAGATGAACAAACAAAAAAAAAACACTACTTATAACACACCCACTCACACACAATTATAATCCATATATGTATATATACTTCTTCCTCCTCTCTTACAAAACCTTTTCTCTTACCTTTTCTCTTTCCCTTTGTATGTATAGCCCAAAAGAAGCTCTTCATCTTTCAATTAAAATCATATATTTACTCATATATTAATTGAGTGATCACATCATATATGTTCATTATTAATCTATTCTTCATATCATATTCTACCTTAATACTCTCTCCGTTCCACGAAACTTTTCTCCTTTCTTTTTTCATCTTTCCAAAAAAACTTTTTTCATTTCCATTAAAAAGTCACTTTTACACACACTAATTTTTAACCTACATATCACATCACACTCTTTTACTACTAATATATTCATCCCATCTACTTTTACCCTATCACATCCAAAGTATTTTTGGAAAGTTAACACCAAAATATACTCATCTTAGATCCCTTAAAAATTAAAACAAGATATGTTGTGTGAGACGCATGGAGTGCAAAATATAAATCAAGGATAAGATCAAAAAATAGTACTCAAATTACACTTATCTTCAAATGTAGAAATATTTCTTTTAGAGACCGAAAGTGTATATTTAATATAGTGGCGGATCCAGAAATTTAGATAGATGGGGCGGCATTGGTCAGCCCCCGTATTTTTTTTAAATAGACTATATGAAATGACAAAAAAATATTAAATTTCATTTCATACTTAATTAAATGCAAATTATTTATTAATAGGTAATGTAACATTTTATACCTTATTATAAAAAAATTAGTAGGGGGCATATGCCCCAACAACATCAATGTGCATGCCCCTGATTTAATGTGAAAAAAGCACACAGCCATTTAAACAAATTAATTTAAATGGTTAGTTAATGTATTTTCCCCCCTATTATACAAATAAAACATCGAATCATTTGCGTTGTTAGAGCGCTAGAAATACTCCTAAAGTCCCGGGACTTCAAACTGGACTTCAAAATTTCTCTCTCTTCCACCTCAAAGTTTTACTGGAAATGAGATTGAAGCCCCATGCCTCAAACCTTTATCTTTTACATTTTTTAATACACATTTTGTAAAACTAAAATAATAAAAATTCATTTTTAATTAAATATAAACAACAATATTTCATTAAATTAAAAAATTTACAAAGAAAAGAACATTTAATAAAAATACATTAATAAAAGAGTAAGGCAAGTAATATTTGGTCTTTATCTATGTTTGTCTTCTCTCGTAAAACATACGTTTCAAACCCGTTAACGTGTGAAGGCTGATTTCCATTATTTCGACGTCTCCCTTTTCTTTCAATTCCTTCGTTTCTTCCTCTCTTCTACCCTAATATTGAACACCCGCAGTTCTTCAACCATTACCCAGTTAATATTGCCGTGAGAAATAACATAGTCGGACCCTGCAGAACCCGAGGCAATGAATTTTTCCTTCTTCCTTCTGATCGGACGTGGAATGGAATCCTCGTCGTCGAAGTCGTCTTGGTTGAAGGGAGATCTTTATTTTGACGAGCCGATACTCAGTGGAGGATATTTTATTTGGCGATCCAGCCTCGGGGTTGTTGAGTTGTTGCCATTTCGGTGAACGGCTTAAAATTATCCAAAGATCGACAAGAACCTCTTCTTGGTGTTCATCGTCTTGATACCAGGTGGTGGCTTGCCTCGTAAACTCCGATAAATTTTCGAGCACTACAGTTGATGTGGCCCATTTAGAAGTGAGTTGGTCTCAGATTTGGTAGGAGGTGTCCTTGTTCATTGTCTCAAAGAACTTCTCCTTGATACGATCATGTATCGCATTCTTTGTCTGCTCGGAACCTTTAAGAAATACGGAGTATATAATTGAACGAAAAAAATATTTTAATACACATGTATAAAAAATAACATATATACAATATACATTAAAAACATATATAAATTTTACCAATGATAAGATTCTCGAAGACATCAACCCAAGCGGGCACCAACAACGATTCTTCCTCTTGTGCCCACTTTTGAATGGACTGTGCAGCCTCGGTCATCGACTTGTCGCCCTTTGGTTTGTGACTCTTCCGGCATGCACTTGGTTCCGATTGAGCCTCCGGGTCCTGGAGGTTTACAGAGGTTTGTGTATTATACATCAATGGATTACTGGCGTATGATTAGAAAATCTACATCACTTCCTCGTTTCGCTCAAGATTGAATGAAAGAACATTAAAACCAAAGAGATTCATGTTAAAAATATAAATAAATACTTGAATAATTATTTTGTTAAGAAAGATGGGAGAGAGATTTGTATTTGTGGTGTGTGTTGAATTTTAAAAACTTAGAATGAATTTATAGCCGTTGTGGGGGGCTCCAACGGCCAAAAAGGAAACAAAATGCACGTCAAACTTTTGACATAGCAAAGATGACGGTTACTTAATGGGGGGAGGGGGCGGTGTTTTACACTGGGGGCGTTAAAATCGAAAAAAACAGCCTCCGGTGTTAGGAGTATGAGGAAAATACGCAAATAGGACCGGAACATAATTT